TGTGGTTCAGTTTCAGAGATGTCTGAGAGAAGCGGATAAGCTGATCAGTCTGTGGAAAATCACGAAACATGGTATGTTTGTGAAAAACCAGGCTGGAGAACAGATTGATGTGAGCACAATTGATGCTCACGTATCCGTTGCTTTGAATAACATTATTACCCGGTTGCGGGACACTCTGGATGAGCAGATACGCAACTTATCTGCGCAGAAAAAGCAGAATGTACTCGAAACTGTCCAAGGGACAGTGGAATCGCTAAAGGAAAAAGCTCGGCTAGCTATTGGCCGAGCAGCTCATACTACTTTTCGAGGAAATCTCGATAACTCCAGAAGAATTGCGCAAAATTCTGCCAATTGCGAGTTACAATAGTAGTATGATGCAAAGCCTAGCGGAGGATTTCGGCTGCGGAAATTCCAGAAGTCTTGGCAACTGTAGAAGCTCAACGATCAAAGCTAAATAGGCTGAGATCACAATTAGGTGATCAAGAAAAGAGCAAGCAGTGATTGGAAGATAAAAGTTGTCAGTTGCATAGCCAAGTTAAAGAACTCACGGCTCGATTGGCGACGTCCTTGAATCAAATATGTCCGGATGCGCATGCTCAAGGTGAGAAAACCAATGTGTGGATTGGTCGGCTGTTAGTAAACAGCTTCTCTCTCAGGAAAATGGCGATAGGACCGATTTCAGAGCCGACAGCCCGTGTGCCAGGAATGAACCATGGGACAGCGAGGCGCCAGAGGTCAATCTCCAGCGGACGATCGAGTCCATCCTGTCGGCAGTCTTCCAACGCATCGACAGTCGGTGAGTCGAGTTCTGTCTTTCAAAACTCGCACAACTCTGAGGCTAGTCATATCTCCCATGCCATGAACGGGATGTTCAGTGTATTTAAAGAGGTTTTCAAAGCCCAAAGCATAGCAGAAGTCCCCAAATATGATGGGAAGAGGTTCCCTCAGTGACTTTTAGCGAGCACTTGGAAATGAAGTATCCCATGACAGTTTGGTCGGACAGAGATAGGCGTGATGTGTTGGTATCTAATAGGATCGGCGCGATGAGTGCATAAGGGGCTCCCAGAACCTAACAAAAGGGTAGTCTCGCTGGAAGCAAACACTTGAGGAAGCACGGTGCAACCCTTGCGAAAAGCTTAAAGAAATAGATGAATGGGACAGGCTTAGGATGAGAAGCAATGAATCGGCAATGATTTTTGCTGACGCATGGAGGATATCTCCAGGAAAATACATCCGAGTTGTGAATGGGAATTCCATAGCCTCAAAATTATACTCTTGCCTGCAACATTGGAAGGATTCATACCATATGTTGGCGGCTCTGGAGGCGCCAAGATGGGCAAGCATACGATGCTGTAGGGTTGCACTGAGGCTTGAAAAGCGCTGCAGCAGTCGCGAGATTCTCGAAAGATGAACGATAAGTGTGGCAAGTTCTAAACCTTCAAAAAGAAGGATATTTGCTGGCGAAAGCGCACCTCAATAATGAAGATGGAGTTTGCAGAAATGCTTCAACTGTGGCGGAAGTGGTCACTATAGCAACTCTTGTCCTGACAAATCGATACCAAAAGGTTACCCCTCGGGCGGTAAAGGCCAGGGGTCAGGTAGGAACACCAAGGATAAGCGTGCCCCAGGAAATCGTTATCCACTTTCGTAGAGGACTAGGTGTGGGATGGTTCGCAGCCAAAAATTGGCGGTAGATTCGGGCACCGTAGCTGGTTGGAAAACCAACGCTATACGACGGAAAAATCTTTGGAATCAAAGTAAGAGCATTGATTGGTACTCGTAATCTCCATATTACAGCTGGTCTCATCAAGGAAGCTGAAAGCAGGGGCTTTGACAAAGACAGCGAAGTGGAGCTGGTAAGCAACGCTTGCGAACATAAGGTGACAGCGAAGTGGAGCTGGTAAGCAACGCTTGCGAACATAAGGTGTTCGACGCGTCAGGCAACCAAATGGAGTTCCTTGCAATAGTGAACGCGGAAATAAGCGTAGAGGAGCTGATAAAGTTCGAGTAGCTATGCATGTCCAGAAAAGCAAGGATAGCACCCTTCTCTTAGGAACCAATGTTCTAAATGCTCTGGGGATCCAACTCAGACTTGAAACGTCATATCACCCGGAAAGGTGGCGAACATCGAGCTGGAAAGCAAATGAGAGTTTGGCCAGAGGAATTTCTGTTCGAAGGACCTTCGTGGAAAAGCGCTATTTAGAAGTGTTGGAGCAAACACTTGAAGCGTTCCGGAAGGCAAATTCGAAGGTGAAACCTCAAAAATGCCGCCTGATGGAAAATAGCCTGGAATTTTTAGGCCACGTGGTGGATAAGGATGGTATAAGAACGAACCCTGACAAGGTTCGCAACATCCGGGAATACCCTATACCGGGAAATATCGCCCAACTAAGAACGTTCCTGGGAATGGCTGGGTACTATCGCAAGTTCATTTTGAGATACGCGGAAATCGCTAAGCCATTGTACGAGCTAACGAGCCCTGAAAAATAAGTTCATCTAATCAGAAGAACCGAGTAAGGCATTCAAAAAGCTGAAAGATGTGCAAACCAGACTTTTTATAATCTACACGGACGCGAGCAGAATAGGTGTTGCAGCAGTTTTGGCTCAAGAAGGAGATGAAGAGGTTTATTCATCCACTTTTCTTTGCATTCAAAATCGTTGTTCCTCAGCCGAACGCAACTACCACGTGACTGCAGGAGGCACTAGCGCTCATTTTTAGCCTTAAGGCTGCGTTTATACAGGGGGGGGGC